GAAAGTTTTACAGAGGGAGAGAGATGGTGCGCTATAGAGAAAAAAGTAAAATGGGATTTTGTACAAAGAGAGATTGGGAGCTTGGTGAGGAGTAAAATGGGATTTCTTAAAACAAACGATAAAAGGAAACTCTTGACACACTGTGATACTGTGTATGTAAAATGAACAATTGTTTCACTCGGGTGGACCGCATTTCTACAATATGCGATTCAGAGGTATAAAGCATCCATGTTAAAATGAATGTAAATAGGCGGTATATCTAAAAGCAAATGTAACTAAAACTCCAAATGTTTTTGTAATATAATTATTATTTATAGTTTTTTTTTTAAAAAAAATATTCATGGTCTTCATGTTAAAAATTATATATATTTTATATTTATTTTCAAGCCCGTACCAATTAAAATACAATGGATCATTTCCCTTTGTTTGGAAATGTTCCCTTTAGCTGGGTCTTTCACCCATTCTAAAATTGGGCTTACATAACACTGCTACTGTGAGATCAAAAGTTACATTTGGCCCCCTCCCCTTATATGTCATGCTCAAGTGAAAACAAAAATCCATATCGAATCCCGCCCCGTAACTGTTCTACTTTGGAGGATATTATTGTCTGAAATTTTGTAATATATTATAGAATCAGCGGATGAATATATTAAGACGAAAAAATATAAGGATTAGGTACGTAAGGTTGACTCTCCAAAAATTTGATGATATACATGCAACCCTAATTTGTGATTTTTTATATGGTCCCAACTTTCCAGGTTACAAATTGAATTTTTTTGTTTACAGAAATTTACAGAAAAATCCTATTTTATTTTTAAATTTTAAAAATGGGCTCGTCTATTTTATATTTTATACAAGTCCCTCTTTCGATAGCATAAATTGTATTTTAATTAATTTTATTTATTTTATATACATTGAATTAAGCTCATATTTGACATGTGTTTACTTCTCACCATCACGCACCTATACAAAATATTTTAAAAATAATTAAAATGCATCCCTACAATATTCAAAGGTATTTTTGTAATCTTATTTATTTCAAATTATTTTCAGATCAGATTTTATAGGTATATGATAGCGAGAGGTACAAATATATTTAAGCTTAATCAGATATATAGATAAAAAATAAAATTAAACTATACTTTATGCTCTCAATATAGAACTATTTTAAATTTAAAAAACAAAGCACGATGTCTTAAACATTGGTAACTTGGTTGAATAGTTCAAATATGAGAACCTGAAAATACTTCTAGCTGCTATTTTGCTCATGGGTGCAAATTTTTGCTTTCGCTCTGCAGGACCATCTACTCTTTTTAGATTTTTTCCACTTAGTTTTATGGATAAATGGATTTTTTTTTACTAATTTATGGATAAATGGATTACTTTGCACGCCAAGAACATGAGTTTTTTTTGCCATTTTTTAATTTGGCAGTCATGCATGGACTACTGGCCATCATTTATTTGAGACCATATGTACTATGCTCCCCATGGTGGTACAATAAACTTACTCACTTGGGCATAAGACCTACATGGTAAGAATTTTTGGATCTGAAAGTTTTGAGAACCGCCTAAGAATCGAGTATTTTTAAAAGCATTATGTGGATTTTGAGTTCTCCAAAATTTAGGTCTGACCTACAAAAATTGGACAGTGTATATTCAATCTGGATACATTATTCACTTCAAGCCCATAGGGAATGCGATTTGAATTTTTTTTAGGATATTCTACGATGGAAAGGATTACATCCCAAAATTTGGTTACTAAGATACTTCTGCATTGGGTTTTATTAGAGGGATTAACTAGATGGTATGCTCCTGTAGGAGCCTAAAATCTTTTGGCTTTATTTTGAAAGAAAATGAAAAAATTTTCAAGAGAAATTTATCAAAATATCTATAAGATATGAAATATTTAACATTGTGGCTAATTGCATCTATTCCAACTCAAGACCATGTGTTTTTTAATAGTTATTTTAAAATTAAATAAAAATAATGGCTAAGTGAGAAATTGTACATCTCTTGTAGGTAATTTGATAAATTTTCAGATTTACAAATAAGTAAAAATATCATTTTTATAATACACATGTTATTTTATTTTGTTTAAAAGACTAAATTTTTGCATTAGTGAAAAGATTTCCTCCTCCCATGGTGTATCCTATCCATTTTCTCCCTCAGGCAAAATACATGCTATGAATACTTTTTGGATTTCAAATTTGGGGATGTAATCTTTGTAGCCCATACATTGTCCCAAAACAACTCTCTATGATAAAAAAACTTATGCTTCAAGATTAAGTAGAGATTGTCCCATTTTTGAAGGACTAGATCTAAGTGTCATAAAATTTAAAATTCAATTTTTCTTTTAAAAATAATCATCTAGTAATTATTATGTGTTTCCAAAAGGGTAGACTAAGAAAATTCTCCTAAGCAGGTGGTTTGAGTGAGAGTGGAAATGCAATATGCTCCCAGTGGAGAATAATATATGTGCTCGTTGCATTATTCAGTTTGGCTTTTTTTTTTTCCTTCTCTTCATGTATTTTCAACTTTTATTTTTTATTTTGTGCCCTTGGACGTAAACCCATCGCTCCAGGTATCGAGTATCGACCACTTACTGTTGTTTGCCTTAATTCTAAAGTAATTATCAGTGTTTAAAAAATCAACTCGTCCAAAGTACTCGGGACTTGTTCGAGCCGATTGCTAATCATCTTTGGTAGTGATTTGAGAAAAAGAACTGGGCCTTGGATCACCAGTGTTCTTTTCTCTGATTTACGAATCACCCTTGATCTGACAAGGGTGATTCTAGAGTTGAATCTTGATATATATATATATATAAAAGGTTGCAACCTTAAAATGTAGAACTACGGATGCACCTAAAAAATCCATTGGAAAATGTTATTTTAATGTTGAAAAATCATCTAATTGATCATCTCGACATAGAGATATATGACTATGAAATACAAACGTATTTTGAGTCCCAGAAATAGCGCATCTTACAATACATTATCTAGACCATCTATTTTCAAGATTTTTATATATTTATAGATCTAATTGATTTTAATCATTTTTAGATTTTAAAATTTTATAATTAGATATAAAAATAGATTTTGAAATAATCCTAAGAATATTTTAAAAATATATGTTATGACAAAATTTGAGTGTGGCCTTTAATTGGATTGTTTAAGGTTGCAACCTTATAGAAACCACACTAACTATATAACTATATATATATAGATTGCTCCTTGATGATGTCAAGATTATTGAAAGTCATTGCAAGCACGTCACCGAAGGGTAGCTGGTGAGAAGTTGTGGTTGTTAAGAATTCTTAGGGCCCATTGGCGACTTTTAAACGCATCACTAATTGATTGCCATATGCCCAAAATTGTAGCTAAAAACTAGTTTTAGACAGTAAGATATGAGTAGGGTGTGATTCTCCAGCCATTTATCCTTGAAATTCAGAACTCCCCCAATTTAAAAATTAAATGTGCCCCTCTCCTTTTTCTATCTCAATGTACTTCGCATGTGTAAAACATTCTTAATCAGGGCTCTGCATATGTAAAACATAATTGACATTTGTAATAGTTAAGGCCATGTTTCTATTTTACGATTTGCTATCCCCAGTAACAATATCAATTAAACGTTTCGCCATAGTTTCCCCTTACAGGTCTCTCTGCTGCTTTTATTTTTTTCCCAAATTCAATTCCTTGTACAACTTTTAATTGAAAGAGTTTATATAAGGTTAAGGCCCTAAACACTCAAATTAATGCTCACCTCAAAGGTTGTTTCAATATCGAAAGACCCTTTCATTGATCATCTCGAGTGGGAGGTGCATAGACCAGGAAAGAAATGGATTTCAAGTCTGGTAAATAGTGCATCATATAAGGCATTATCTGGGCCGTTAATTTTTCAATATTTTTAAGTATTTTTAATTATCTTTAAGTATTTATTTGTAGTTAGATATGAAAATAAATTATCTGGCGAGAAAGATATTTGCTTCTAAAATATCATATTTCAACACTATTTAGACGTACGCCTTATTTTGATTGTTTATAGCTAACCTTATAACCACACCCTTTTTCAATTGTTTTGGTCCTAGGTTTCAAAACTTGAATGTCGATTTTATGTTTAATTATTTCAATTGATTTATACTTTTGTACATTCCAGCACATCATTTTTTACTTCTTTATATCATGAGGGCCAAAATCTCGTACTACACTTGCAAAAATGGAGGTCTAATGAAATTTACACTTAAGTCTCTTTGATATCAAATTTGTACGTGAGATCTCCTCTTGTTGGTACAAGATAAACTGGCTGTTCCACAAAGCACTTCCGAAATTTACATGATTCCTATTTATCCACATTGACATGTAGTTATTGCCGTGTTATCGTGTGGTAGAATGTATATTGTCCTATCATAATTATAAAATTAGAAAAGTATACAAAGAGGCTATTTATTTTTAGTAATACAATTTGACATCTAATGAATACGATTAATTGTGACCTTCTTGAATAAAAAGTAAATAATCTCTTTGTAAACAATTCCAAATAAAATAAAATAGACTAAAAAGGAAAATAAACTATAAGTTCAAAAAATTTCTGAAGTCATGAGAATCACAGTTAGTATTTGACATTTTTTAGGAAATTTAGCAGCCTTTAAACCATACTCCATTTGTTTATCTATCACTTCGTGAAACTCCTAAGGCACGTTTGATTACTAGAATTCACGGTTTCCTTCCGAAACTCTGTAAATTAATGCTGAAATTTGGATGCAGCAGCTTCTGTGGTGCCGAATGGAAGCTGCAGCTTCCGAATTTGGTAGAAGAGATGGCTTCGCCAGCAGCGTCTTACACCAATCAAACACATAATTATAGATTCCAACCAACATAAGTGCAAATGTAAGCATTGCATGCTCAAAAAGATAGTTTAAAAAGCGCCTTTATTTCACGTATATGCCATGCACGCACGTGCATGGAGATTTTCTTAGAAACCTTAGTAGAGATACATAAAGAGTAGTAAGAACAGAAGGGTCACAACGAAGGCTAGATTAAAAACACAAACACACACTCATGCAGGCGCCCCATAGAAAGCCCGTTGCCGGTTCGCCGAACCAAGCACGGTGAAGTCCTCGGTATCGAGATCACAGCCTGCACAAAAAGAAGCACGCATTAGGTTATTATCCGTTGACGACACCAAAAAAGAGAGGCAGAGAGGAGGTCCCATAGGCAGGCCTGTTTGCTTACGAGTTGCAGTCGAAGTTGGGGTCCAAGGGGAACCCAGGGTTGCAGTTGCATTGGTTGAAGAGGTTGAGGGCGATGAGGATGTTGAGGCTCAGCAAGTAGTTCTTGCAGCACTGGCAGCATCCCTTCCTTTGGTCAGGAGGACCCACAGAGAGGATGGCCAGGGCCTGAAGGCTGCTGCAACAGGTCGAGGTCGGAAGAATGGTGGAATCAAGAATGCTGGCCCGACAAGGGAGAAGGAGTACATTAACTTGAGCACACAGCAGTAACTGAGCATCAGCTGCACAGTTAGAGAGCACAACCATGGCCAGAATGGCCAAACCAGAAACCCTAATCTGAGCCATTATCACTCACAGAAGAGAAAAACACAGATATTTGGAAGAAGAGGAAGGAGCCAATGAAGAGGCTAAGAGCGAAGGTGGTGGTGATGAGGTAATGAAAAGCTTGGTATTTATAGAGGTCTCTCGAGGACTACCTGAGGATTTGGTTTAATGTAGAGGGCTAAAATGTTCCAAAGATATTAATAAAATAACGGCGGTTTACCCCCAATCGGCGCCGAGGTGGACGTCCCGCCTGTCCATCCACGTGTTAAAGGGTACGGTGAAATTTCGACCGTCCGATATTACCCCCTGTCCCCGGCATGCGGTGAACCTTGACAATTACAGCCGTCGATCTTAACGAAAGAGAGGACTTGCGCAGATTAAAGAAAAGTAGCCGTCTATATATTGACTTCTACTATCTAGCCTACTTACTATGATTGAAAAGACAAAACAACGAAAAGAAAGGGAAAGCAGATCATCGTTCATTTCATGCTTCTTCAACTATATGGGGCATGGACATAGCAAGTATACAAACCATCGAAACAGTTACTGTACATTTACTTCATCGTAAGGGAAGTGCCACTTGGGAGGAAATTGATTTGTCTAAAATGTTAAAATACAGCTAAGAATCACTAGATGACATTATTTATTTATTTTTTTATTTTTACTTTTTTTACAAATAATCACTAGATGGCCATTCGGAAGAGAAATGTAATTGTGATTTCTTTAACACTTGGATCTTACTGTCAACAAATTAGTCTATTCAACCTTGGTTCGAAAATAGGAGGTTCAATCATTGGGTTCAAGAAGTTACATCCCCAAAATTTGGGGGTCCTAATATATTCCATGTTTTGCCAAGGAGCAAAAGAAACAATATGATCCAGCAGGAACAAGAAATTGTTACACTAAACTGAATCACACCGTCGTCGTTTCGGTGTCGTTTGTAGAAAGTTTGATGCCCTGAAAAAAAGTAAGGCGAACCTCTAAATAGTGTTAAAAGATCATTTTTCAGTAGCAAAAATCTTTGTGATAGCTGCAGAATATATTTTCATATGTAGTTCTAAAATTTAAAGTTTCAAATATAATGAGATCAAGTAGATCTATTAAAAATTTATGACCAAGATAATGCATTACAAGATACATACTTTCCCAGATGTAAAATCCTTTTTTTCATGTCTATACATCTGGAGGTTGAGATGATTGATTTGAAGATTTTTTGACATCAAACATTAACTTTTTAGGTGTGCTTTAATTTGATTGTTGAGAGCCTAGACCTTATATAAACTTTTTCCTTCCTAACATAAAGGACCCCCTCTTCTTTGAAATTATCCTTATTTCCTACGCATGATCCACACAATCCCCACCTCCTAGCCCTATCTATAAATACGTCCATGATAAATAGAATAATAGATTAAGTCCTTTAAAAATATAGTAGCATTGTAGCTTGTTTATGCGCTAATCTGCACCAAACCCTGTATGAGATAAACTTAAATTCATGCAAAACTGATTAAAAAGTCATGAATCGACAGAGAAGTTAGGCCACTCGAATTGTAGATCCAAAACTAGTGTAGATCTTGATAGATTTTCCCTTTTCTAGACCTACTAGTAGTGCCAGCTGTAAATCTCACCTATTAGATTTTTAAAAAGCCATAAATTCTAAAGTAAACTAAGAGATCCAAAAATAAATAGAAAAATAAAGAAATAAATAAATTAAATCAAAAAAGAAAGAAAGGTCACATATCCGAGAAACCCAAAGGGTGGGCCCATATCAAGATCGTAGGTTGATTTACATTTTTTGATGCATTCTCTTGTTTTTTTGAAGCGTGGCTTTAAAGGTCTTGGATCTAGGAGATCTTGTTACTAGGATTTTGATTTTTGGGATTTTGTAGAGAAATTTTAGGAGAATCTGGGCTTAGGGTCTCTAGCATAGGTTTTTCCTAGACCTACGTTTCTTAGAGCCTAAGAGAATTTTTTAGGATTTTCTAGGAATTTTCTCTTATTTTCTAGAGGGTTTTCCTGATTTTCTAGGAAATTTGAGATTTTCCCCCTTTTTAAAGTATTTTAGAAAGAATTTCCTAATTTTCCTAAATTTCTATGCTTATAGGGATTTTCTAAATTTCTAAGATTTTCTAGACTTAGGGGAATTTTTTAGGATTTTCCGGTTGATTTTCTAGAATTATTCGGAGGGTTTGATAAATATCTAGCCTAGGGATATGTTGAACTCTTAGGAATTGAAATAGGATTCCAACTTCGAACGGAGTAAACCTGTCATTTTTTGGCCTTGTCCCGTCCAAAAACTGCCTCAGAAGGCCTTATCCACGGGCTTCTAAATGCTTTGACTTGTCTTAGGCACACTGGGCACGCGCGAGTCATGGAGGTTTGGCCATGCAGGAGTGGCCACGACTCGTGCTGTCCATGCGCGAGTACATAGACTCGTGATTATGGACCAAGCTCTCTATTTTATGAACAATTTGATTTAGGTCACAACTTTTTAATCGTAAGTAAGATTCATGCAATTTTTGGACCGTTAGAAAGCTGGTGACTTTTTCTATAATTAGAACCATATTTGGTCAAATTTGAGTTACTTTTGAGTAGCTTACAGTAATAATTTTAAAATTTCAAAAAAAAAAAAGAAAAAAAGAAAAAAAACTTTTAATAAATGATGGTTCGTATGAACATGATGGTCCTTAAGAACCATCACTATTTTCAAAAGCTTTTGATTTAAAGCTTTTGCTGCCTTGCTCTTGCCACGTTCACTAAAGGACGTGGGCATTAAGCGTTTAAAGTGTAATTTAACGGTTACACCTCATGTGAGAGGTGTAACTTAATAAAAGAATACAATATAGGATCTTAATAATTTAAATACGAGAAGTGAGAACTTCTATCCTAGAAAATTTTGAGTTATCTCTTTAGCCCCCTCTCAAATATTTTAGTTAATTGACTTCATTATCTTGAAAAATAATCCGTTCTTTTTAAAAATAAAATGAAATAATTATTTCTGCTTATTATCATGAATTTTAAGCGCGATAAATTTTATGCGCAAATGACCTCATTATTTTGAAAAATAATCTTTTTAATAAAATTATAATATTAGAAATTTTAAATGCTATAAATTCTTAGAAATAAATTTATTTATAAATTTATTTTTCTTGTCTATTGTTAGAAAATTTTAGAAATAAATGTGATATTTCTGTTGCTAGTAAAATTGTGAGATTTCTTTCTACTGTTTTTGAATATTTAGACATTGTAAATTTCATTTGCAATGACTGTCTTATTATTTGAAAATTGATATTTTTGCAATTGATAATAGCATTGTTGTGAAATGTTTAATTGCGAATTGATATCTCATAAATTGTGATAATTCCGTATTCTTGAAATTCCATAAGAGTTTTTTTATACATATTAAACTGGCAATTATGCTAGAATGTCTTTACGAACTGCTACCTTTCTAAATTTGAGCCCAAAATATTTGATTGGTTATTTTTGAAATGTTATTGAAAGTGACTGTTATTAATCGTTTCAGTGAAATTCATATTAATGATTTCAGTGATATGTTAAGTACATGATATTGCTGCTTTCGAATGTTTAAAGAGATTTAGAAATACTTTAATTATGTAAGTGGACTCATCCGGTTTGCCGGTGAGGTATAAGTGGACCTATCCGGGACGCCGGTAGGGATAAAGTAGACTCATCCGGTATGCCGGTGAGGTATAAGTAGACCTGCAGGGATTAAGTGGAACTATCTGGGATGCCGATATGGATTAAGTGGACCCATCAGGACGCTGATGGGGTATATAGGTTACTTACTTGGGACGCCAGTAGGGTAATTTTGTGGAATCTTTTGAATTATGCACTGCCGTTAAAATGTTATATGCATTTCAATCATTTGGATTATGTTTAATTGAGCATTTTTTAAAGTGAAATTGTTATCTATAAATACTTGTGCTTGCATTGTTTTTAATTGACCTCCATTTTGAAAGTTTGTTTATATTTTTCATCGATGATTATTTTTAGGATTATGATGATCCTTACTGAGTAGCCAAACTCATCAAACTATGGTAAATAGTTTTCAAGATAACTGCGGTTTCATTTTAACTGCTCGCCAAGATCAATTTTGGAAGATATTATAGTTGTGCCTAAGCTTTTTTTTGTTACTTTGTAAGAATTCGCCACTGTAAATTTGTCCTATCAAGAGATGTATATATGTTTTGACTATCACATCTCAGGAATAACAGTATTGTAAATTCTTGGGGTGTGACACCTACAAAGCTTGGAATTTATGATCTATGTTTAGGGTTTCTAGCCGTCTGTTTTGTATTTGGACTAGATTTTTTATCTTCATAAGGCTCAGGGTTATCTAAGATAACAATTTGGGCGTATTAAAATAGGATTTGGGTGACTTTGGGACATTTCTAAGGGGTCTAGGTTCACTGGGCCTAGTGTGGTCCTTAGGACTCATAATTTGAGCTTTTGGGAATTCTATTAGCTAGAATTTCTGGGGAAGGGGAATGTCTATAGTTGCCTCTCTTTGGTATTCAATTGGGGTATGGGGTGAATGTCAAGGAAGTAGGTATGTGAGACATGATGGAAAGAAAAATGAGGGGTCAGCCTTTTGAATGACCAATATTCTTTAGGAAGGTGGTACCCCAATAAATTCTTTTGATCCACAAGACATCGAACTGCATTGTTTTTGAGGTTGAGGTAGCTAATTTCCATTGCAAGGGCTCCGACAATCTGTATATGAAGTGGCAGTCGAGGGGAACTGTTTTATCTTTGAGTTGGCAATTTTCCCTTGTTGAGGCGACCACAATGTTACCTGGGATGCCAGTGTAGTCATCTTAGGTTATAGACCTTTACTGTTGGGCCTAGTTTTCAATTGAATGGGATTTTAATTTTGAAGATAATTGATTGGTGGAGAAAGTTTGGCTAATCGAATTTATTTTCTTTGATTCTAAATTTGAGGAGCACAAGTTTAGGCTGAGATTTTTGGGAACCTCAAAGTTGTTTTTCCTACAAATAGATTTTCTAAGAAGGCAAAAAACGTAGTAACATTATGTATGGGCTATCCAACTCTTTTGTTTTGAG